TATATATATATATATATATATATATATATATAAAATAAAAAAATACAAATTCTGGGAAAGCAATACTTCTCTTATTTACAGCACATTACTGACTCTAGATGTCATGTTTCCTGAATGAATAAGTTGTGGAATCTGAATTTAAATGCTATTTTTCTGACTGCAGCAGATCAAACCAGAACTGATACTGAAAAAGAGCAAACAGCTACTAAAAAGGTCAGTTTTCCTCTCTCTGTCTGGTATGGAAGCAGATTCCCGGCATGTAAGAATAAAACCCTGCTGTGGTAAGTCATGACCAATGAGTCATAATTATGAGATGAAACGCTGAAATTTGACTTTAAAATTCATAATCGTGACATGCCAAATATTTATGATTAAAAACAGAATTAGACATACTAAGTCATAATTAAGTAAAAAATTATGACGTAAAAAAAATCATAATTACGTGAAAAAAGTTGAAATTAGACATTTTTTTAATTAAAATTATGATCAAATTTTTATCTTTTTTTTTGCCTTAATCTCATTTTAAATTCATGCCAGTTTCGACTTTTTGTCATAGGTTTTGTCATAGTTTGTCTTAGTATGTTAATTTTGACTTCATATCTCATAATTGACTTTTCTCTATCTATTTAGTGTTTTTCATCTCATAATTATGACTTAGTATGAATGTCAGAATTTTGTCTTAGTTTGTAATAATTACAACATTTAAAGTCATAAATTTCACTTTTCATCTCCTAAGTATGACTTTTAAAGCCATAAGCATGATTTTATTTCCTCTTACATGGCAGAAATGGGCTTCCATAGTCACTTCTTCCAGTTCTTCAGCTACGTAGTTTGTCAATGAATAAATAAGTAAAATAACTGTGTTTGACAGTGTGAGGATGAAGAGGAGGAGAGGTCGAGCAGGACTCCACGCAGAGGAAGATCCTCCAGAGCATCTGATGCTCCACAGAGAGAAGCATGTGAGTCTCAGTTACACCTGCAGCGAGCCCTTCTCCTCTCACACACCTGATCATCTGACCCTGTTTCTCTGCTTTCCCATAAGGCTCTGCTTCACAGCCGAAGGAGGTGGAGCCAGCCGTGGAGGAGGAGCCAAAAGAGGTGCACTTGATTGTGTGTTTGGCTGATTCTTCAGTTAGAGAAAAACAAGATTTAAAGAAAAAACACTTAATTCTATTTTTAAAAGACTAATGCATGTAGCTTTTTTAAATTAAAATTATGATCAGATTTTTATCTTTTTTTTTGCCTTAATCTCATTTTAAATTCATGCCAGTTTCGACTTTTTGTCATAGGTTTTGTCATAGTTTGTCTTAGTATGTTAATTTTGACTTCATATCTCATAATTGACTTTTCTCTATCTATTTAGTGTTTTTCAACTCATAATTATGACTTAGTATGAATGTCAGAATTTTGTCTTAGTTTGTAATAATTACAACATTTAAAGTCATAAATTTCACTTTTCATCTCCTAAGTATGACTTTTAAAGCCATAAGCATGATTTTATTTCCTCTTACATGGCAGAAGTGGGCTTCCATAGTCACTTCTTCCAGTTCTTCAGCTACGTAGTTTGTCAATGAATAAATAAGTAAAATAACTGTGTTTGACAGTGTGAGGATGAAGAGGAGGAGAGGTCGAGCAGGACTCCACGCAGAGGAAGATCCTCCAGAGCATCTGATGCTCCACAGAGAGAAGCACGTGAGTCTCAGTTACACCTGCAGCGAGCCCTTCTCCTCTCACACACCTGATCATCTGACCCTGTTTCTCTGCTTTCCCATAAGGCTCTGCTTCACAGCCGAAGGAGGTGGAGCCAGCCGTGGAGGAGGAGCCAAAAGAGGTGCACTTGATTGTGTGTTTGGCTGATTCTTCAGTTAGAGAAAAACAAGATTTAAAGAAAAAATACTTAATAATTCTATTTTTAAAAGACTAATGCATGTAGCTTTAGACTTGTATTTTGTTTCTTTCCTAATTTCTGCTTTTCCTAAGATCATAGTTTCAGTTCATATTATTTATGTGTAAATAAAGAATCGCTGTCCAGTACTGATGCCATCGTCACACCAAACATTTACAGATCATTTAAGTGTTTACAAATGTTTTTATTGGTCTTTGATGGAAATACTATCAGATCCAGCGTTACTTTAATATTTGACCATCACATTTTATATCAAAATCCAGTAGAAGGTTCTTGAAGACCGGGATGAGATTCGTTCCAGGTCATGTGATCAATGATTCACAGATGAAACTTAGTTTTTGATGGGACTGAAGTGTTTGTGTTAATGTTGTTTTCAGCAGAACCGCAGGAGTCTCCGCTCCACAGCTCAGACCAGAGACACTCCTGCAGGTGACACACACACACACACACACACACTCTCTCTCACACACACACACTCTCTCGCTCTCACACACAC